ATCTAAGAGGAACTGCAACTAGGTGAAGAATGCTACTTTGCTGGATGGGGGTGAGAGGGGGTAAATCTACTCTCCGTGCATTCTCCCCCATGCCGAGAAATATATGTTCGCGTTACCTTTTAACCGTGGACTTTAAAATCTGAATATTGCTTTGCTAGACAGTTTTCTCTATTGTAAAATCCAACTTCGTGACATCGAAGACCACCAGTTTTTTAAGTTGCCATCTTTGTCAAAAAATCGCCCTAAAAAATAATCACAGTGAAATTACGCATTCAAGGCAATTTTAGTTTACGCCACAGTTAGTTTAAACAGGCTAACAGCATCCTCTTTGGCTTTTCCCGCTTTTTGGGACTTGGAATTATGTATACTTCATTTTCCTTGACATATTAGGTCAATGATTGATGTGACGGAGCCTTGCTCCGTGTAAGCTCCGTTTGCCGGAATACAAAATGATGCCAAATTCACACAGTGGTGTGACACTGAAGTGATGCCTAGTTTTTTTCATGACCTTAGAATCTTCTTGATAATTTCCAGGATGTCAGAAACGCCCCACTGATATCAGCTAGATAAATGTAATATTGATCAGTCACATTTAGGGATAAAACCATTTAGTAAACTAAAACAGTGGATAGTGCTTTTTGGGCGCTCTGATTAGCTACTCTACCTACGGATATCCAGTGTTATGTGTGAATGTGAACAGTTTAAAAGTTCAACGATCATAGCGACCATAGCTATCATACGGAAACCACTTTCTAGCGATCTTAGCGGTCACAGCGATCGCAGGTACAATGATTGCTGAGATAGTAAGCTATGCCAGAAAAACAACAAAACGAAAACGGTGCTGGCGCAATGAACAAGTGGCAAAATTCCTTTCACTTTTTCAATCGAAAAAAGTTTCACAAAGGTTTACAAAAAAACTGTTCTTTTTAGTTGTTTGAGTTTATAGGTTTTGTTAAATTGTTATATCATATTGAAAAACCTGCAATTCAACAATAACTCGCTTTTCAACAAACAAAGCAACTACGCAGCTGATAATCCTCACGAACGACTTCGTAAATTCTAAAAGCCATGCCAAAGAAAACTAATTCACTACTTTCACATAGACCGTAATGCTCCTTGTTTAACCCCTAAAATTTCACTTATGTCCAGAATCGATCTTGTCAGCGCAAAAGATTTAAAGAAAACTGCTATCAGAAAAGTATAGAAGAAATAGCAAATCTCGTAAAAATCGCAAAAGTAACAAGAATTCTTCTTGCTATGTGAAAAGATTGAGTAACAATTTCGTAAAGAAGGCCATGGATAATGCCACAAATTTCGCTAGACTGAGTAACAAGAACAGGCAAAAATTGTTCAAGGGCAAGAAAGAGGTCAAGAACATCTGCGCATCACTGTTTTTTCCTAATACTAATTGTTATTGTAACTGGGATACGTTCTTGTCCAGTAATTTTAATTTGTAATGCGTTCCATTTTCGCGCAAAGGAAATCGTCGGTTACAAACGTGAGACTATTTAATATATAGATTTAGCCAGGGCGCTTGCGTTATTAAACTGTACACAAAATATCAAATTTAGCTGACAAAACAAAAAGCAAGCCGGTTTGTGTGTGTTCTGTGGCCACTTTAGAATATTATTAGAATTTACATTTTCTTTTTAGCTAACCAATGCGATGCCAGATCGTGTTTAGCTTTAAGTATTCTACTGGAATTATATTCAAGCGGCTTTTCAATGGGAACCTTCGTTGTTCTTGGTTTCAAACGATTTCAAAGCGTCAACAACAAAGGCTCAGTTCATAGAAAAGGAATCATATATGAAGTGACCGCCAACTTTCTTTAAAAAGGACGATGGCAGTTAAAAAAAAAAAAAAACGAAGACTGACCGAGAATGAGCGAGCTGCCTTCACTTTCGATTTCTGATACAAGAGCAATGAGTGCGTAAATACCGTACAAAGCACTTTCCATGTGGTATTGTGTTTATTATATGGATATTGACACATTCATAATTTTGGCAGCCTTTTTCTTTCAAATCTTTCCAAAATGCTAAAATTTACCGTTACACACCGCGAAATGACAACGAAATCGAAGTATCAGCTTTTTAGTAAAAACTTTTGTTAAAAATAGATATTTTCTCTTTACCTAAACAATGAGATCCCAAATCGTATGTAACTTGACGTAACGTATTCTACTGAAAAATTATATTTACCTTCTTTCAAAAGGGCGCTGTTAGTAAAAAAAAAAAACAAACAAACAAACAAACAAATAAACAGCAAAACGAAGACTAACCGGCGATATAAACGAGTAGAGCCAGACAAGGTCTAATGTATCATAATCATGACTTGTTTGAGATTCTTTGTCGATCACAAAGCACTTGCCACTCTTTAATATACTGCCTAAAAAAGATAAGTATCTGAGCTTTACTTCTTGGTACGTGTTATTTTATGTGTAAAGGTGCTTTTTACTAGTTAAGGTTAGTAAGGGTGTATGTTATCCGGTGTTTTTGGGTAGAAAAGAAATTCCTCGTTACTTTTGCGATTTTTGCGAAATTTGAGGTCTTCTCAAAGCCCTTCTTGGCCTTTTTTTTTCTCTAAGTATCGATTTTTTTTAAATTTGTTATTTTTGCTATTTTTGAGGTATTTGTTACTCGGCGTTTTCAGGTAGCAAGAGAAATCCTTGCTACTTTTGCGCCTTTAATTTTGCGGGATTTTCGGGGCCCTTTTCTCTTTCTAAGTCTAGAATTTTTTTTCAACTGTTTATTCTTGCAACTCTTGTGATATTTGCAAGTGATTGTCTCACAAAATTTTCATTTCATTTCTTTTGCGAAAACTTCGAAAAGAATTTGCTAGCCAATTTTTGTTCATAAGATCGTTCCGGGACATACCTCAACTCGTATGAAACCTCACTTATTCTACTGGACCTAAACTGTCTTACCTTCTTTAAAAAGGACGCTAGCAGGTTTTAAAAACGGCAAATGAAGACTGGCCGGCGTTATGAACGAGTGGAGCAAGACAGGGGCTAATATATTCTGACTTTTTTGTGTTTCTTTGTCGATCACAAAGCACTTGCCACCTAAAATGATTGGCATACAGGCGTACTTATTGGTAAATAAAAATTAGACAGTACTTCATTAATATGCATTTTTAGTCATAGTTATTATCACTATTATTATTATCATTATTATTATTTTGTTTAGGTGTAAAGGTGCATGTTACTAGTAAAGGTTAGCAAGGGTGTATGTTGGTGACACGATGCCAGTTATGTTAAAATTTAACAACAAAATGGAGACGGTGCCGGTGTTATGAACGAGTGGAACCAGACACGTGCCAATGTAATCTGACTTGTTTGTCTTAATTGAACAACATTTATGGCTCGCTTTTTAATATACTGGCTTAAAATAATTGCTTATTGCACTTTCAAATTAACTGATGCTTTATTAATATGCATTTTTAGTTATAATTTTTACTGTAATTATTTGTTGCGAAAGGAAGCGAAAAGGTGCATAACTACGAAGAAAAACAAGGAATAATTGGTGATGTAAAAACTCAGTAATACCTTACTACGCAGTCATTTCCCACAAAGGCCCCCTCCCCCCAACTCTCACTAGGCCTTTGGAATTTGAATTCCGCCTCCAATTTCCCTTTGGCTCCTCGTCGACTGAGCTGTCAGATTTCCGCAAATCAGCGTGAAATGGCGACGAATGCGAATGTAAACAAACTGACGTGGTTATTCGAAAGAGGCAATTGATGAGGGGTATCTTTCCGGTATGGTTTTCCTGCTTCCGCTATGTCTATCCGGCAAAGTATTAACATAGCCTCATTTATCTCCCTACATCGCATTCCACCAAAACAGCGTTCCCAATTGAACACACTTTAAGCACTTCTTCGTCACGTCTAATCTTTATTTCTTCCGTACAGCTTCCTTAACATACAGCCTAATGTAGCTTTCTTTAATTCTTAGCTACTTACAAGGCTGACTAATTAAATTTTGCGATATTCCCCCATTAGTAAGGATTCAGCGGGATAGCAACATTTTCTCTTTGATGACGTCTGAACAATGAGAGCAGAGCTTTTTTTAAAAAGTTTGGCATCCGGATTGTGTATAAAATGGGATTTACAAGGGAGTTTGCATAATACAAAAAACGCAATGAAGAAGTCAAATCAAAATATTCTTGGAAAGAAAGGGAATTCAAAATATCAGTTGACCAGCCAACAAAAAGAAGTATATTGTATGGTAGCCACAACAGTAAACATACTAAAGTTGTTATAAACAATGTGAGTTAGTTTTCTTAATCCCTCAGAGTTAGTTTTTGAACAAGTCTTTACGAACACGAAAAATCGAGTCTCGTTTTTGGCCCTACGTTTTCGAGAACGTTTTAGGCCCCGTTTTAACGTGTCTCGTTTCTGAAACGAGTCATCGAGACAGGTGGCAACGAGTCTCGATTTCACGTTTTCGATTCGACTGCCGGAAACGTAATCGAGAGGCCATTAAATCGAGACGATTTTTATCGAGTACTTTACGATACGTTGCCCAGAAACGGTGAGTGATCCAGCTGCTGCACAATGGCGCTGAGGATGAGCTCCAAAACGAGACTTGAAAAAAATGGACGTGTAAGAAACAAAGGTAACAATTAAACACAAAAGACAGTAGGATTCCAGTATGTAAAGGTGATATCAATTCAAATAAAGCAACTCTACCATCCACCCCCCCCCCAGCCCCAAATGACTGAAACAATTAGAGGAAAAACCCAGACAACAACAATTGCCACCACGTAGACCAATCTCTTGATAAGCCGATGCCTAAATGGACGAAACGTGGCGTGAAATCGCTCTATAGAAATCACACCAATGTTTGTCAGGGAGACAAGAGGAAAGACAACATAAAAACACGATAATGCAACTTCCCAAGATAAATTCAATTTTATAAGGCGACATCGCCGTAGGAGAATAAATTGAACACAACCCCCGGATAGGACTCCAACCAACATATCCGCCACGGTTAAGCTTATAACCTAGAACATGCTGCGAGTGCGAAGGGTTCTGTTCTGTATAAAAAGAATAATGGCAAGGAGATTCACTGTTACTATAGCAACAAACTCGGCGGTGAATACGGTAACCCAGATGATACACTCGGATGAAGACAAAAACATGTTGAGTTATTTTCGTCGTTGGTGTTATTGTTTCTTGATTTTGTGTTACTCGTAACTGTTAACCTGTAAGAACAATATATAAACTATGATCAGTGTAAAGAAAGATCATTATTATTAGACTCTTATTAATTTAAAATATTTATGCGTTTCTGATTGGCTATAATGACACGCATAATTCATCGCTTAAATTGGAAGAAGTTTGTGATATGTGAATAAATGACAGCAAAACTGACAGATTATGAAACAGTTAAAACTGGAAAATACAAAGGACTAGGTTGAGTTGTTTTGGTAATGAGTAAAAAATGGCGGAACATTTCACTTGTTTCACGAGGAAGAAATAGGTGAAATATAAAGTGATTTAGTGCCGAACTTTCTCAAAACTCAGTTTCCTCAAAAATAAACTGTTAGTAGCACTTCCAAAAACAATTTTTTTGGTACTTATTGGGAACTCAAATTTGAGGCCGTTTTACACGAAAAGTCAAACACATGTTCACCGAATTTTAATGAAAGAATAAGTTCCTGTTCAATTTTTTTTTTCGTAACAGAAGCAGAGGTTCGAAAATGAAACTGTCGGCCGCTGTGTTTTGTTTATAAGTCGGAACTGGCAGCTATTGTAATGAAGGATTACATTCATTTTTCAGAAGATGCAGTGCTTGTTCAAGATCCGTTACTTGGTAGACTTAGCCACAAGTTTGCTGACGAATTACCAAAAAGGTGCCGACATAAGTTTCTAAAAGTTGCATGCCGAAAAGTTCCTGTTTTTATAATAATAATAATAATAATAATAATTATTATTATTATTATTATTATTATTATTATCATTATTTGTTTGCGCTTGAAGTTGATTTCATTGCGGTTTTGATCGTGCACACTGTATAAGTAGGTTTTATTCGTATTTCTTTTTTTTGACAAAACTTCATTGATTAATAGAACTCAAATTCAACAGTTGAATTGATCGCCTCTTCATCTGCACGTTCTTCCCAGCTGGACATTGTTGGCCGCCATTTTGAAAAACAGATCATGTATGTGATACCGTTTACTTCATGGACAGGCGTGCAACACCAAGCTGGCATTGGTAATTGGGCCGGTCCAGGAGTCCACACTCTCACTCAGTAGTATAAACCAGTTGAAATTAGCTGACGTTTTTTTCGATAGGTAATGAATGTCGCAAAAAAAGTAAAAAATAATTTAAATCAGAACTTGCCAAGAATGTTAAAAGTTGCCGAAAATCGCAAAAGATGCCCAAAATCTCAAAAGCTGCCGAAAAGTTGCCGAGCAACGTGTGGCTGAGCCTATTGCTTGGACTGTTTCATGATCAACAACTGCCTTCAAAGATATCCCATCATAGATTTTCGGTTAAAAATGCAAACGCATGTGAACGCTAATTTATGGCTTCTAATAAGATCTATAAGATCTCTACTAGACATAATTAAGACTAAAAAATCTAACAATTCATCCTCCTCAAAGGACAAAAACTTCTTTTGGGAACTCTCAGGTTCATTCACATTTTGTTTGAACTGAGTCACATGTTTAACTTTAGAGGATCTGACTGTGTTTTTGCTATATTCATCGAGCTTGTAGCATTAATACAAAGAAATTCAGCCCTCAGAAATGAAGCACTAGCCTACCTTATCAGTGAACTGGTCACCTTTTTAGACGCCGTCTGTTTTTCGTTGTAAGTAGATGAGACCGCTATCAACTACGGTTGCAGAAAAAGGCAAAATCATAGGGAGAAATCTAAAATAAAGTTTGATAAAGCCGTTAATCCTTTTAAAAAAAATAAACTGATCGCTTGTGTTATTAAACTGTATACAAAAGCTCAAATTTAGCTTACAAAATTAAAAGGAACCGGTTTGTGTGTGTGTTTCTGGCCACTTTAGAATATTAAGAATTTATATTTTCTCTTTACCTAGACAATGCGATGCGAAATCGTATGTAAATTGACGTAACATATTCTACTGGAATTATATTTACCTTCTTTCAAAAGGACGCTGGCAGTTTAAAAAAAAAAACAGCAAAACGAAGACTCCCGGCGATATAAACGAGTGAAGCCAGACAAGGTCTAATGTATCCTGACTTGTTTGAGTTTCTTTGTCGGTCACAAAGCACTTGCCACTAGAGAAGATACGTATCTGAGCTTTACTTCTTGGTACGAAACTGATCTTGGACGCCAAAATTCAGCCAGTTTTTTAAAAAAACATGTGGGGAAGACCTTTTCACGCGTTGGTCACGCTCCACGTCCAATTTTTATGCTCTGATTGGTCAAAATTTGACAGGTGAGTTCATGCAGAAAATTAATGCAGCATCTTGAAAGTTGTTTACTTTGACAGCTGAAGCTGACAGAGTTTTGAGTCAACTTGTGATGTTTTTAACTATCTTTTTCCACTGGATGTACAAAATGAAATACAGCTGCTATCGAGAGTATTCTGTTATTCATGGATAGTTTGTTTATTGGTTTTTTGGTTGAGAGATCCGTCGCTTGTCAAAGTCGGAAATCCGATTTTGGATTTCATCGTTTTCGTTTTTCACCTTGCTTGAGGCCTAAAGAGGATTCGCAAAATTCTCAAGCTATTCTCGCGTTACTTGGTAGCTTTCAGGAGCTGCATCTCGAATAGTAAGCCTGAGTAATGATTGTATTTAATGCTTGTTTTTTTTATATATATCTAATTTAATATAGTCGAGCACAGTTTATGCAGCAAGTTTATGCACGTTTGTAAGATATGATTTGAGGCAATGATCGGACCTAGTATCAGGTTTGATATAAACTTGCAGAACTTTAAAAAGCCTTTAGGTATATTTTCTCACCGCAAATAGAAAGAAAACATTCCGAAGAATATTTAGTTATAAATTTGGCTGTAGAAAGAAAACTTTGAGCGATCTTTGAGAAAAGCAAACACCGGGAAGCCGGCTTTAAGACTCAGGATTTTTAGAAACGCTTTCATACTTGTCATCGTGAATGAACATTGTTGTCTTTGTAAATGTTTCACCGAATTATATTTCTTTTAGTGATCGTTAGTAGTCTCTCTTGCAATTTTAATCGCTGTGCCTTTCGTTTTTAGTCGTTCATGAACATCGCTTGCAGGAATTATCTCAAAATTGCGCGCGTATCAATCGTTTTTTAAGATTACACATCGTTATAAAACCCTTAAATAAAAAAATATTTATTATGTTGAAGTGTAACTCTATTAATGTTCACTGCAAATTTGGCGCTCATTAAAAGCGAGAACTGGCTGGCCTTATAGGTGATTTTGGAAATTTTTTGAACGGTTTCGCTAAAAGCCTACAATTGATCGTCCTGAATATTGACTGAGTGCAATTTGTTTTGAAAAATTGTGAAATACCGCATTCTGTGCGAGGTCTGTATGATAAACATTACTGTTTCACCTCAGATGTGATGTGTAAAAAGTATAAAAGGTTGGTTTACACATCCCCGGATTTGTTGGCAAGATTTTGTAAAGTAAACTTGTCGAAAGCAAAAACTTTGGCCTGATTTGTTTTCCAAGAATTTGTTTTCCAATTCTAATCTACTGTGATCAACAGTCATTATGGTTTTTTAATGTGATTGAAGATGATTGCTATTTTTTGGGTGTTTCATATGGCCATCAACTCGATGTAAGATGTTTCACTCTAAAATCACTTAGTCACATGAATTTGCCCTTAAGTTAACTGATTTGTGGATTACAAGTTTATTGTTTGATTTAAATAATAAATTTATTAATGGGAGCTTCGCTTTTAGCCCTGGTTAAATCTATATATTATCATTATTTTAATTATTTTGTTTAGGTGTGAAGGTGCTTGTTACTAGTAAGGGTTAGCAAGAGTGTATGTTAGTGAGACGATGCCAGTATAAGCTTTGGTAAAATTGTATATCCCTAGAGGCCAGCTTATTAAGTGCTCGATTGTTAGTAACATTTTTTTTTTCTCTTCTGTTGAGGGATGGCTCTTGCATTTGGGCACACAACATAATTAAATATGGTTTTAGACAAAGGGAAGCAGGACTTTCTACTGTGAAAACGGGTCTTATGTTTCTTTATTTCTTTTTCTATTTTCATGATGGTGACAAGTTATGTGGTTCTGTCAAAGTTTGAGGTGATCTATCAGTCACTTAATGACTCTAAGTGAAGCAAATTAACAGAGAGCTTATAACTGCTATATGTAAATTTCACTGACAAAAGAATACATCATGCATGGTTGTCCGTCATCAGATAGTACTGCGTGCAACACAAAGTTGATATTTTTAATATTTTCGAAATATTCGTCTGAAAAAAATACCCTATCTCATGCTATGTACTCAATGACGCATCCACCAGAATTAGTTCTCCTTTGTTTTTAAAAGTGGCAGTTTAGTTGCTGCTATCCAAAATGCGGAGAGTATTACACTCCTGTTTTACTCGATTTTTGGTTGATAAGTTACGGCAATTTAGAGAGTTTCACACGTGAAAGATTATTAGCAGTTTAAAGCCTGAAAAAAAAAAAGTATCTATATAGTTTCTTATTCTTTCTTCCTGCTTACGAAGATTCCCGATTTGAGCGGTAAAATATTATTTCAGCTCTGTAACAGCCAGTTGACGATATCGCGTAACGTTCACTTAACCATATTTAATGTTAGAGACAACCAAATCCATGCTTTAAAAGGTTGATCATGAACTACTTTTTCTCTTTATTTTTGATGAAATGAATTGGCTTACAACTCTTCTTTTACAGCCACAAATTAAACTTCACTATAATTATAGCACGAAACAGCGACAATTTTTATGTTTCATTTCAATTAAGGAGATCTGGTATGGTCTTTTAAATAGCTGTTTACTGTTGGGTACTAACTGCGACACTTTTTATTCTTCTAATTTTTCCTACACCACTGGAAATTACAACTGGACAGGTGTACCGGAAATTTATTATTTATCAGTTAAATAATTGGCCCACAGATACTGATTCGCCGATGTTTTCTTGTCCATTGAAGGTGACATGACTCTGATATAATCTGTGACATTTAATGCTGGGTAATATTAGAGCAGCTAAAAACTAATATTGAGACAAATTTTCACTTCCAAATGGTTTTTCGTTTTGTGACAGTCAGTACGCTTGAATTTCTACTCTTTTGCTTGACGTGACATTTACATGGCGGCCTATAGCGGCTGTCATGTTGGTTAAAACAGTGTGATAATTGAGGGGTATCTTTCCGCTTGGTTTTCATGCTTCAGCACAAGCTGTCCGGCAAAGTATTAACATAGCCTCATTTATCTTCCTACATCGCATTCCATTCGTTGCTATGACTACTCCGATGTCATTGCAACCCTGATCACAACAAATTTTCATCTTTATCTAACACAACTGCGTTGGCAATTTTTCCAAATGTTTGTTTATGGCGACGTACTAGTTTATGCTCAAACCTGGCAGGTATTGTCTCTGAAAAACTGTATCGAGCTATTTTTATATGCTGGTACGGCCTAGGTTGTTGCATCGGCCCTCGTTTCTTTTCGACTGTTTTGTAAAAATTTGAGCAACTTGCAAAAATTTCTTGGGCAAATGGTTGACCGCCAACCTCCTCTCCCTCCCCCCCCCCCCCCCCCCCCCCCCCCCCCCCCCCCCCCCCCCCCCACGTGGCAAAAAATAGCCCGTACACCTATGCTGGCGACGCCTTTAGCCTCATACTGGCCCTGGAATTATCGTCGGTGCACCTCTTGGGGCTGTTGGAGCATTTTGCGGTGCCGGAGTCAGTATGCTTGAATTTCTACTCTTTTGCGTGACGTGTGACATTTACATGGTGTGCGAGAGCGGCTGGTTTTGAAAAGTGTGGTATTTGAGGGGTATATTTCCTGAATGGTTTTCCTACTTCCGCAATAACTATCCGGCAAAATATTAACATAGCCTCATTTATCTTTCTACATCGCATTCCACCAAAGCAGAGTTCCAAATTGAACACACTTTAAGCATTTCTTCATCACGCCTAATCTTTATTTGTTCCGTAGCTTCCTTAACATATAGCCTAATGTAGCTTTAAATGTGCTTCTATTTATGTTTTTACATGCATTAAGGGTGTCTTCCATTTCTTTTTTTCTTATATAGCTACTTACAAGATTGACTAATTAAATTTTGCGATATCCCCCATTAGTAACGATTCAGCGGGATAGCAACATTTTCTCTTTGATGACGTCTTAAGAATGAGAGCAGAGCTTTTTTAAAGTCTGGCATCCTGATTGTGTATAAAATGGGATTTACAAGGGAGTTTGCATAACGCAAAGAATTCAGTGAAAAAAGCAAACGAATTCTTTCTAGGCCAGAAAGGGAATTTAAACTTATATAAGTTGACCGGTCAACAAAAAGATATAATATACTGTATGGTAACCACAACAGTAAAGATACTAAAGTTGTTATAAATAATGTGACAGTTAGTTTTCTTTGCCTTAAAGCAGCTGCACAATGGCGCTGAGGATGAGTTCCGAAACGAAACTTAAACAGAATGGACGTGTAAGAAACAAAGGTAACAATTAAACACAAACAACAGTATGATGCCGACAAGTAAAGCGGGTGGCGTGTCATCAGAGAATATTCTATCCCCACAACGACTAATGTAATAATAGATAAAACCCAGACAACAGCAATTGCTACCAAAAAGACCCATCTCTTCATGAGCCGATGCCTAAATGGACGAAACGTAGCGTGAAATCGCTCTAAAGAAATCACAGCAATGTTTGTCAGGGAGACAAAAGGAAAGAGAGGGATAAGAACAAGAAATGCAATTCTAACTTCCCTAGATAAAGAATAAATTTTTACAAGGGGACAAAAACGGTTTTGGCTAAAAAAACTATCAACACTCCCGGAAAGACTTCCAGCCAACAAGTCGGCCACAGTTAAGCTCATAACCAAGTACATGCTGCGAGTGCGAAGGCTTTTGTTCTTTATAAAAAGAATGATGGTAAGGAGGTTCACCGTTACTATAGCAACACATTCCGCGATTTGTACTGTAAACAAGATGATGCACTCGGATAAAGAAATAATCATCTTGTCATGAGTTATTTCGTCGTTGGTGTTTCTTGAGTTTGTGTTGTCCGCAACAGTTACCTGTAAGAAGAATAACCTTTGATCAGTATTTTGATCAAAAGAAAGGTCAGCATCGTAACTTGAAAGAACGATCGTAAAATACGATATAACTTGTTTCCCCCTTTTTTTGTGTGTGCTTTATTTTTTTATTTTTTTGTTTTTTTCAGTTTGCTTTGCACCGCTACCTGAATTCTGAACACCTCGAACACAAAATGCGCACCGCACCTATTCCAGATGGAAAAAAGGATAAACAATGCTATCCTATAGAAGAAGCGGATAATTTATTTGTTTTCATTTGTTTGTTTGTTTGTTTGTTCGTTTTTTTTGGGGGGGGGGGCGCAAATTCTTGTCCACTCAATAACAGATGCATAAGCCACAGAGGGCCAAACAATATGTGACTGTTAATTTGTTTGAGTTTAGAGGACGTGTATCGGAGCTAACTGAGCTATGACGCCACTGACGTTGGGAGCAGGTCAAATGTGGGTTCATATGTTCCCGTGAATGAAATGAGTTTTAATGATATATGAAATGAATCATATATGAACTGCGGAAATGAAATGAAGAAGAAGAAATGATCGTCGCAGTGAACGCAATTTATGCAAAAGCGTAAAAAAGCCTGAAAAAAAAAAATTCAGGACTTCAACGGGGTTTGAACTCGTGACCTCGCGATTACCGGTGCGATGCTCGAACCTATGAAGCCACTGACGTTGGGAGCAGGTCAATTGTGGGTTCATATGTTCCCGTAAAAGAAATGAGTGTTAATTATATATGAAAAAAATCATATATGAACTGCGGAAATGAAATGAAGATGAAGAAATGATCGTCGCAGTGAACGCAATTTACGCAATTGCGTAAAGAAGCCTGAAAAAAAAATTCAGGGCTTCAACAGCGTTTGAACCCGTGACTTCGCGATTACCGGTGCGATGCTCTAAGCTATGAAGCCACTGACGTTGGGAGCAGGTCAATTGTGGGTTCATATGTTTGCATGAAAGAAATGAGCCTTTAATGATATATGAAATAAATCATATATGAACTGCGGAAATGAAATGAAGATGAAGAAATGATCATCGCAGTGAACGCAATTTATGCAATTGCGTAAAGAAGCCTGAAAAGAAAAAAATAAAATAAAAAATAAAGATAAAAAAATCAGGACTTCAACGGTGTTTGAACCCGTGACCTTGCGATTACCGGTGCGATGCTCTAGAGCTACTCCGACGCAAGAGAGACGACCTGTTAGAAATGCCTAGCTTTTTATCGAGAGGTTTAACCGTTTAATCATGGTGAACCGAGAATGCTTAGCGCTGTCATTAGGAAAATGTTTCACCTGTGCATGTTTGCCGATACTATTTTGATGAATGTCCTAGAAGTTGTATAAAATTACTGTTTCGAAAGGAGATATTTGTAAACACGCGAAATCGGTGCTAAATGTGTCTGGCATGTTTTTTTTTGTTTGTTTTTTTGTTTGTTTTTTTTTTAATCGCCAGCGGAGTTTCTTGATTAATGAATGGTAAAAGGCGTGAAATTCCTGTCACGCCTCCTGAACGCGAGCTGCAGTGATGTTATTACCCTCTATTTTTCTCGCCTCCTACTAAACCGCCCCCCGCCCCCTAAGCAATTTTGACACTCATCCAATGCAAGATTGCAACCCGTGACCCATAGCACTCGATCTCGACGATCTTACGGGAAAATAGGGGACTATGAAAGTCTAAGTGTTGGCATAATCCACTATTTTTTTCTGCGATTTTAGTACTCCTCCATCCTAATTCATTTTACTCTGAAATACACTTCTAGCTTGAAACACACTCTGAGATCGCTGAGATATAAGTGAGTGGCATTATTAACCGATAGAATTAAAAATAAATTGGAAAAAGGTATTTTTAATTAATGAGCATGCGTTTAACCGTGAACCTGTCCCTTTAAGAATAACATCAGGCTGCTTTCAGGGTCGATTCAAAGTAGCTTGTGCCTTCCATTTGAAAAGCTGCTTTAGGTAACAACCCTTTCCTATAAAAGAGCTCTACTTGATAAAGCACAAACATTGTTTGAATACTGACACTTTCTTTGGAGACTGAGTCACATTTTGAACTTTATCGACAGACAGAGCTCAGATAACAAACATTGATGCCATGAAACTCAGCGCACAAAAGTAAAGCACCGCGGCTTACCATTTTGTAAGTAAACTGGTCAACTGTTCAAAAAACGGTCTTTCGGTAGCTGTAAGTAGAAGACATCGCTACTCCCTACGTCGCAGCAGACCAAATACTTGTATAGCAATCTAAAATAAAGTTTAATAAACCCATGGACATTTATAAAATGTTAACCGATCGCTTGTGTTCAAAAAAGCTTAAATTTAACTAAATGAAAAAGCAAGTCAGTCGAAATGCTCTGTGGCTGCTTTAAAATGTAAGATCGTTTTAATTTTATCTGATCGTGCCCATCTAGTACTACTTAACGTATTATGCAGCACAAATGAAATAGAAAAAAAATTCTTGCGCTGCTGTAAGAAAGAAAAAAAAATGTTGCAAAGCTATTTCATCATTCCGGGGGTCTTTAATGCATACTGTGATGGGATGCGTACTCAAAGTAATCGTCAGTTTCCAGATGGGGCTCCTTTGATACTCATTATTAATGTTGAGTTTCTTGCTGCCTCTGGTACACTAGCCTCAGAGAGTGATTTCCCTCAACAGATCAAGTTTCTTGGGAGAAGGTATTGGTACAACATATTTATTTCCTGTATTTATCTATTCACTGAATATCCCAAAACTATATGAAAATAGTGAGAATAGTGAGATTGAAATGTGATGAACTCCTGCTTATGATTACTACATGATATCATCAAGTATTTCATTTTGTTGCTGACAAGGTACTGCCATTTGTCCCCTCCCTTTATTGCAGTTACACACTTTATGGTCTTACATTTTATGTAAGACACAGGCAGCATTACACTTGCAAGATAAAGCATTTTGGAAAATGGGTCCATTATGATGGACTTACAGAGAAGCAGTGCCCAGGAAGTGGCCTGTCTGTACAGCACATACTAGCACAACTTGGCATGGAACACCATCACATTGCTTTTATGCTGAACTTTGAGGTACTCAATGTAGAAGTGGACTGAAAAAAGGCTGAGCAAAAATTATTAGAGCTACTTTTCAATTAGACCATGATCAACTAACTTCAATTTTGCTTTTACATTTGTTTTGGATATTTCAGTCCACTTTTAAATTGCAACTAATGATTCTAGCAGCAATTACCATACTATGAACATTTCTGAACTGCTTTTTGCTATTTTTGGCTATTTTTTTATTTAAGAAACTAAACACTTTCACATCTGCCTGTGGTGCATCACTTTATTTTGACGTAATAAAATGAGTGTAAAGAATGACTTTCAGAAAAGATAGCTATACAATAATGATTTTGTATAGCTTACAACATTTTAAGGCTTTGCAGTTCCATATTAGAACTATTACTGCAATGACCACAATGTAAGTGTAAATACATTTTGTATTTACCAGAATAGTGACCAGTGACCAGAAATCAACCACCCCCCCCCCCTACTTTCATGAAATATTAGAGCACCTAGAAACTAATATTGAGACAAATCTTCACGTCGAAATGTTTTTTTTTCCTTGTGTGATAGTCAGTACGCTTGAATTTCTACTCTTTTGCGTGACGTGGCATTTACACGGCGGCCTATAGCAGCTGTCATGTTGGTTAAAAAAGTGTGGTATTTGAAGGATACTTTTCCGGTATGGTTTTCCTGCTTTCGCAATAGCTATCCGGCAGAGTATTAACATAGCCTCATTTGTCTCCCTACATCTAGCCTGCGCTGCAGCCGGCCGCGCGCTCGTCTAAACCATTTGGGAACTTATGTGTCAGGCCGTTTTACGCGTAGAGTGAGTCAACGCATAGTCACGAATGTTTAATAAAAGAATAAGTTGCTGATTATGCATGTTTTAAAAAAAAAAAAAAAAACAGAAGCAGAGGTTCGAAAATGCAACTGTACGCTGCTCTGTTTTGTTTGTAAGTCAATCGTTATAAATTCCGTCGTTTGGCGCAAGGAAATGGCAGCTATTGTAATGAAGGATTAAATTCATTTTTCACAAGATGAAGTGCCGGGTTCAAGATCCGTTGCTTGATAGGCTTAGCCACAAGTTTGCCGATAAATTACCAAAAACTGCCTATATAAGTGTCTAAAAGTTGCCGAAAAGTTGCATTTTTTTTAACTTGTTTGCACTTGAAGTTGGTTTTATTGCAGTTTAGATTGTGCACAGTATATTAAGTAGGTTTTAATTCGCATTTCCCTTTTTTTTTTTTTAACAAAACTTCATTAATTAATAGAACTCAAATTCAACAGTTGAATTAATCGGGCCTTCATCTGCACGTTCTTCCCTGTTGGAAAGTGTTGTCCGCCATCTTGAAAAACGGATCATGTGATACCGTTTAACTCATGGACAGGCGTGTAACACCAAGCTGGCATTGGTAATTGGGCCAGTCCTGGAGTCCACACACTCACTCAGTAGTATAAATAACACAGTTTAATTTAGCTGACGTTTCTTTCGAAAGCTAAAGAATGTCGCAAAAAAAGTAAAAATAAAAAAAAAAAATGAATCAAAACTTGCCGAGAATTTTAAAAGTTGCCGAAAATCGCAAAAATTGCCCAAAATCTTAAAAGCTGCCGAAAAGTTGCCGAGCAACTTGTGGCTAAGCCTATTGCTTGGACTCTTTTATGACCAACAACTCCTTTCAATGATATCCCTTCCTAGATTTCTCTACGTTAAAAAGAAAGTGCAAATACAAATGCAAAATATTTTCGGTTAAGAATACAAACGCATGTCAACGTTAATCTATGGCTTCTAATTGTCTGTAAAATTGACAAGGAGAAAAATCTATAAAAGAAAATGTACCATGAAACTCGCGTCCAGCCTTGCTTTTTCTGGTACTTTTTTCAGTTTTTAAATAAT